AACCAAGGACTGAACAATCTGCACGGTCTCAGGAGATCTTCAGACACAGTGGGTTTTAAATCCAAACGCGAGGTGGTTTCCACCACTCTAACCACTGTTTACTCTTTAGAAACCCCATGGATCCCTTGGACTGCCCTGCAGCCACGAGTCCTGCAAGTTATTTACACCGCCAACGAAGGTGTCGCGCTGATTTGCGGATGCGGAGGGCTGGATGTCTGCTGGCTCTCAGCTGCACCGCCGCGTCCCCTCCTCACAAAGCCCTGTCCTTCGCTGTGGCTCACGTCTCCTCTCCGCTCCACAAAGCTCATGTCACCGAGGAGGCCCTGACCAAGGAAGCTCACCCTGGACGGGGACCAGCACTATGAAACTTTACTGACTGGTTTGAAAATTGTTTTCTAGAAGGAGATGATGAAAACAGGGCTCTTTTTTTTTTTTTCCCCGCTCATGGCAAGGTTTTCACACAGCTTCGTCAAGAGCAAACCGCTCTGCTTACGCTTGCCGACTAACGGGCAGGTTTCTGGCGCTCTCAGCCAAGAGAGCCTCCCACCGCACGGGGACCACATCTGATAAAACCACCTCGGGCAGGTGACAGCAGAGTCTCTCCTACCTCCTTTGGGCTGTTAGTTTTGTTGACACAACACCATCAAAGGCACCTTCCCCTCAGCTCACAAGGGGAAACCCGATCCTCAAACTCCATCGGCTCCCACTCAGAGCACGGAGGGGACCTGGGGGAAGAACAGAGCCAAGAACTGACATGGGAGAGGGCTTTCTTTGCACATTTACGGCGTCACGTTAAGGCTACACAGAAGGTTTTAAGTGCAAACTTCAGGCTGACGGTCTTTACTCATTTTCAGGCTAAAGCAGTAAGCCACAGGGAGGATCAGCTGCTCTGATGTGGCTACGTATTGATGCTGTGAACACGGACAAAGAGGATCAGAACATCTAATGAATGAATTTTTCCTTCAAGACCGTTTTTATCCTGAAATCTCGAGAAAGAGATGAGAAGCATTCCCATCTTCCCCAGCAAAAGCAAATGCAGCATGACTTCAGGGAGGCAAAACCACCAGGAAATAAGTCCTGGGGAGTTTTAACCCCTGAACGGAAGGGTGGACGCGGGGCCGGCCGCACGGCGAGCCTTGTGGCAGCAACCAGGAAAAGCAGAGCCGTGAGCCTCCTGAATTCCCCCGATATCAGAGCGGGATATCACGGCCTGGGAGTGGGAAAACCCACCGCATCAAGGAGGGGACCGGGGTCTTCCCAGCTCTCTTGTCTTCCCAGGTGGTCGTTGAGAAGACGGTAGCAAACGGTGGGGATCACGCTTGGCTGAGGACGATAAAGCAAAAACAACAGGGATGACGCACAGACCCCGGAGGACTTCAGCTAGTGTTCCTCTCCCTGCAAAGACCTGGCCTTTACGTTGTCGTTCCTTAATTTATAAGCACAGTAAAAGGCTCGGTTTTAAAAAGAAAACCTTTCCACCTCTGCCCCATAAGCCCCTGGGAGCACAGGCAAAGCTACCGGCATTTTTCTCTGTGATTTAAGAAGAGGTATTTCCCAGTATAGTGTACGGTTCTGGCAGAGTGAGGCCAAGCGCAGGGCTCCTGCGGAATATAAACGAACAAATACAGGAAGGGAGAAAGTCTGCAGAAACACAGTCTGAAATAGCACAGGCAGGCCAGAGGGATAACTGCCTGGGGATACGCTCTCAGTTCTGCCTGTAAATGATCCGCCGCAGCCTGAGGATGACACGAGCAGGACGCACAGACGATGGCAAAGTGCTGGCGGCCGAGGCCGACCTCTCCCAGGACCTGTCAGCAGTTTTCCTTGCACGGAGATGGAAGGGATCTCCTCAAGAGCATTTCACAGACCTGCACTGAAATAAGACAGACCCTCCTTGCCACCGGCGTGGCAGATGCAGGGCTGAACCCTGGTTTAGCCAACTCCAGGCGTCAGCAACCCCGCGCCAAAGCCCTCGCAGCTCCCGCATTACCCATTGCATTAAATCCCCATTTCAAACAGGTTTTGGTTACTTTCCTGGCTATTTCAGCTGCGTGAGAGCTGGTTTCTGGGGAGCACCGGAGGACTATCGCCACTCAAAGCCATCCTGCCTGCGCCCTCGCTGCAAGAGTGGCGTGCCGCAGCTTGAGTTGCAGAGGAGTCGAGACTAACCCTCGCCTCCAGCTGGATAAACAGACTCCAGCGTAAACCACCTCCAGTCCTCCATCAGGTTCTCCTCTGCGCAGATAGGCTAAAAGTCAGAGAAGTGCCCAGATTAATTATGCAAATAAAGGCAAAGAAAGCATCCTCAACACAGGGAGAAAGGCACCTGCCTCCCAGGGACCACCTACCCTGGGATAACATCGCAGCTTCCCACCTAACGCAGGCCATTAATTACCACTCCCCTCCTGCTCCAGCAAGCTCCCAGTATGTGGGAGTGAAGGAGGTGGAAAGTAGCTCCAAAGTGGCCAGAAGAGCTCGAGGGGGAAGAGTTCAGAGGCATTCCCCTTCACGTTCCTAAAATAGAGATCCTGCTGCCTTACACCCTCCTTTGTAGAGCATTAAGCCCCACCAGTAAAAAGCAGTACGTAAAAGCTAGGCAGGAACTCTCTTCTTCTGCTCCAGCCTAATAAGTAGAAAGTCAATGCCATTGTTTTAGATCTAAGCAAAAAAAATACTTTGAAACCTCAAAAATTAGGGGTTTTGGAAGCAATTATCTCCCTCCTCCGTCGCCAAGACTAAAGAAACACGGGCCAATTATTTCTTTGAAGGCTAAATATTTACTCCTCGATGAAGTGCAGCAGCTCAGGCTGGAGATGAATTATCCAGCTCTGATGTCATCTAATGCCTGCAAGTAAGAAAACCCAAATGAAAACAGGTATGAACAAAACAACAACAAAAAATGGTGTTTTCTCCTGGAAGAGCCCTTCGGAGAGCGGGAAGGGATGAGCCGTGTCCAAGGCATTCAGCACAGCCCTGGGGGGAAGGGATGAAGCTGTTTCAGCTCACCTGAGCTGTGTCCAAGGCATTCAGCACAGCCCTGGCCCCACGCTCCTATTCCCTTTAGGTAGCCCTACCCAGGTCTCATTAGATAAGATGCCCATGCTTAACGAGGGCACGAGCAGAGCGTGATCAAACCTCCCCGAGCAAGAATTGGCCTTGTGGAAAAGCTGCCGTCTTATTCTGGAGCGAGACCTACCCTATAGGGCGAGGGGTGGGAACTCCTCCTCACCTCCAGGAGCAATTAGCCTGCGCACACATTGAGCATTAATCAATCAACGTCAGCTCTTCTTTTTAAAAAAAATAAAAATAAAAATCCCTCCTGCCTTATTTACGTCTGACTCCCGAGTTTCAAAGCTCTCTGCTTTTGCCCCCTCCAGTCACTATTCTTTCCCAGGCGGCGGGTGCCAACCCTCTGGTTAAGGGCATCAAAAAAAAAAAAAAAAAAAAAAAGCTATGTGCAAGAAACCACCACCGGCACAAGCGGGGGGTGACTCATCTCCTCTGAAGACTGAGGAACAAGAGCGCTCTCTGTTCGGTGAGACTGCCTGAAGTTTCAGTTGCGATCCCATCTCGCTACACGCGCTCATGACAGCATACAGAAATATTTCCTCGGGGGATCTTCCCATGGGACTCAACTCTGACACATATTCCCACAGGACTCGTTCTTTTTAAAGTGTTATTTGTTAGTAAGGCAGTGGGAATTTGACTTTGCGAAATACCAAGAGAGTGACTGAGATGCGGAGCTGGGTGCCGGCGGCTGGACTCGTTAACGCCACTGCGAGTCATGCCCCGCATTCAATCCGACGGAAGAACTCGCTGGGCTGCAAGAATAGATGTCCTCGGTCAGAACAGAGGTCTGCATCGCCCGGCATCCTGTTTGTGCTACCCGTGGCCTCTTCTCCACCCCTGAGCAGCTACGGCAGGGAAGGAGGAAGAGCGAGAGCCACTTTCCACATACGTGTAGACTGTTGGTTTGTTTTCTTCCCCCATTTTAAGTCCCCGACTGCTTAATTCTCACCTGTAGGCATCACACAGGGGATGCGCAGATGCAAAAAGCAAATCAAAATATTAAGAGTTGCACAGACTGATGTCCAGCCAGCGGTCATCGAGCACCAAGTTACACGTTAACATTTCAATATGACATCCCACCAACTCCAGATAACGTCAGTACGCAGAAACATCTGGATTTTGGAGGACTTCATACAAGAAAAAAAAGCGTCAGGCAAGAAAATACGACTTTAAACTATAACTGACTAATCCACAATACTTAGACCACACGAAGCAGGGTCAGAGGGAGTCTGCAAGACTTGTCAGCTGGAGCGCTTGGTGGATGCTAAGCTCCTTCTCCTCTTCCTACTCTTCGTTAAACGTAAAGCTTTTGCTGAAACGGCGAGTTTAATCCTGACTTCCCTGCCCCCCCAAAGAGCTTCCCCCGATTCTTCTGCCTTTCTCGAAGTTATTTTAGTCAAATTCAGAAATATGAGGAAAGCAAGCGTGCCGCGTGTGACATTTTGAGTACAAAAACCAGTGTGGGAAATCATTTGTGGCGTTTTCCTGCCCTGCTCGGAGCCTGTGGACTGCAGGAATGTACCTGTTTTCCCACGCTCTCCCGCTTGCTGTGGGTAGCCCGCACGGGCATGTCTCCTCCACTCCTCAAAATACCTCAAGTGGCAGCTACTAGACTTATTAAAAAAAATAAAATATATCAAATTTCAGCTCTGGGACAACAGTTCTTATCAACAGAGGCTCTCGTGACCGCAGGTAAGTGTCACTCAGCCTGCGTGGCACAAACCAGCCGCTCCAGACAAAGAGAAACAACTCAGCGTGGTGCCGCAAGCGCGAGAACATACATGTTCTGCGGCTAAAAAAGGGATCCAACCTGAAAACCGATCAGATAACGATAAAACACATGGGGAAAGACAGAATCAGACCAGCCAGCCCTAGGGACGAGGTGAGTTTTGGAGAAGCGGTGGGGGAGTTGCACATCTGCCGTCTCTCACCTGATGCCAGGGGCCGGATCCATTCCTTGCTGTTCAGGTCGAGTCTCCAGAGGTCGTTGAAGGCAGCGTTACAGCTGCTCTGCGTGCAGCCACCGAACACGTACATCGACTGGTTAGCGTCATAGTAACACGCACCTAGGAAAAAAAAAATAAAAAATAAAAGCAAACACACAGATTAGCCAAGTCTCTGACCTTCACGCTTTTGGGTGATAAAAAAAAGATCATTTTCTTTTCCCCCTGGGTTTCAGACAGGAGAAAAGCAGACAGGCTGCCCCCACTTCCATAAAACCGTGGGTCAGCTTAGGGGTATCCCTGACCACCGTAAACCTCCAGCAAGAACCTTCCGAGACGATTATCCCCTCAAGCAGAGCTGCCCCTGAAAGTGCGAAGGAAGCTGCCTTAGAAGCTTGTCGTTAATTAGATTAGCTACGATTAACGCACTCAGCACACTTACCTTCTCTAAGCCAGTTCGTATGGTTTATAAGGTTGCCAAATAAGACTAAGAAACTGGCCTGTGTACCGAGACCTGGTGACTTAGTCTCTTTTTCCAGTATTTCATCACAGAAAAGCACCACTGAAACACCCGGATCTTATGCATCTTTCCACTTCCCATCTTCAGGGAAAGGATTAGGCAGTGAGAAGGGGAAGGGGGAGGCAGCACGACGCTTGACAACCCTTCAAAGATACCCAGGGAAATAAAGAGCTTTTGGCTCTCAACCAAACTCTGCAGCAAAAAAAAAAAAAAAATATAAAAATATGCAAGCGTCTGCAGTTGGCGTGCGGTGGTACCCGGGCACCTCTGACAAGAAATAAATTAAACATAAGATAGAGCAGACAGGACTTGCTCAGCTTATCTGCTGGGGAGGATGAGCAAGATTCAAAGGCGTTCAGAAAGTTAAATCCTCTGTAATTACAAAGAGGTTTTCCCAATTTCTGCGTTTCCCTCCTCAAACGCAACTGGCCCCGTTGACTTCGTACGACAACCCCTCGCCTTCCACCTTCTTGAGATCCCCGCAAGGCAGCGGCATCTCTTCCGCGTCTTGCCTAGCTCACGAGAAACGGGACGAGTGCCGGATGGCGATGCTGGGAGAGCAAGGACATCCTTCGGCGGCAGCTTTGATAGGAACTGATGTGCGTTTGTCTAAGTCTGCAAGTTGGGATTGAGGAGTGAAGGGGATTTCAGCCCCTGGGCTGGTCTGGATGATCGGGCAGCAAGTTCTTCTGCATCCACACCCTCCCATCGGCCGGGTGCCGTCTGCTCCGCTGACCGGTGCACAATGGCAAACTGTTTGAAATTCAAGCCTCCCTTGACCTGGCCTGAAAAAAAAAATCTTAGTTCTTGGGTTTTCCGTAAAATTCTTCCTTTTCTTCCCCCTGAGCTTTACCAAAAAAGGTATACGGCACAGCTGGCAGGAAGGACAAGCTCGTTTCTGAAGCCTTGATCTGTCTGTCGGGGTGTTGCTCTGTTAGTTACTGCATCTCCCAGGACACATTTACTGGTCTCCAGACACCAGGAATTCAGCATCACACATACGGATGGTCCCAAAACACTAAATCCTGCGTGCAGTCCCTCAGCACCAGCCAGGGGAGCAGCGGGCTCCCACCTGGATACCTACCTGCCTGACTGTATTTAGACAAAGTCAGAAGTACCCAATTTCCTTCCAAAAAGGGACCAGACATGGCCCTGGTGTTGTCTCAAAGAGGACTCGCTGCCTGAATTCTGCTCAGACCTGAGACATCTCTCTGTCAAAGCCCAACTTCATACACAAGTGCCCTCAAAAAAGAAAAATAATCTAATATCAACCGTTTCAACGTGAGTAAAGTCTCCCCAGAGATTCCTCGAGCGTTTATTATCAAGTCTAACAAGGGGAAAACCCACAATAAATCATATCCACACAGACATGTGCCAGTGCACAGTAGAAAGCCGCAGTGTTTTATGCTCTGGGAACACTGAAGGGTACCAGCCAGGGCTCGGAGGGAGCAGGAGTCATCGCCCCCGCGATGACAAGCGATATATCGCCCAACACGAAAAGCAAGAGGAAAAGTCAAAGTTCAGGCGGGCAAGACCACGGCGCAGGGCAGCATCTGGCCCTGGATGGGAGACGGAGGTGAGAAGCACTTGTGATTATGCAGGAGCCGCTCTGCGGAACACCTCCAGGTCGAGGACCACGTGCTGTCGTAAATAACCAGCACAAGGGAAGCGCCAAGATAAAGGATTAACATGCAAGTACAGCAGGTTTGACAAAAAGCGCCAGTATTTATTCCATGTCGAAGCAGAAGTGGAGCTAGACGCACGGCAGGGGTTGAGGTGCACTGTTCCTCCCCTCTCTCCCTCTCCATCACATGTTGCACACAGCTGTTCACCAGTTAAAAAATAAAAACAGATTCAGATGAGCTGACCTGACGGGACACAGGACTGCTCCGGAACTTGTACTGACAGAGAGGGTTTTTGTTTTTTTTCTATTTGAAACAGCAGCAATAAGATTAAAAAACAACTTGAAAAAGGAACGTCTGGAGTAAAGGGCCGATAACCTACTTTAGGTAGCAAGAGAAAACGATTCTGAGCGAATCCCCAGGAGAAGTCACCCCTCTTCCAGCTTCGCTCTAGACCAGTACAAGCACGTCCCTGGTTTCCAATGATCCAAGCCCGCAGCCCTAGTTTTGCGGGCTGGAGGCGTGCATTTCCAGCGTGAAAGAGCTCTTTAAGGCAGCCCACCCATACGTACCGCCGGCGATATTCATCTGGCCGCTCTCAATGAATCGTAACGCCGTAAAGCGGCGCATTCAAGCGCCCGCAGACAATACCATGGCTGGTGACGCCCGGTGGCCTTTGCCGAGGGTCCCATTGTCTGACCTGGGGCTTGTCATGCAGATCCCCTATTGAAAAGCCAGCAGCCCCCCCGCCCTTGGCTTTTAGTGACAAGTGCGGGGCACTTTGCTGACCACACAGCGGGAAGGGGGGAGCCGGGGACATGGGATGCACGAGGGCAATGGTGCTTGTAAGAGGAGACCACCCAGCTCTCCCCCGTGTGCATCCACACGACGTCCTTACGTGCAACGGAACCGTCTTCATCTCAACCCACATCTTGCCAAACTAATATAACACACACCTACACGCCGCGGCACATCGCTTCGGGGCTCTGCCTGGGGTGGAGGATGCATAAATAGTGGCGTAGTGGATTTACCTGGGATGGCATCGAGGAAGAAATAATAATTAAGAGTATTTTTACAGCTTTACCTACTCCCTAAGAGCTGACCCTATATGGGTTTTAGAGGGTAAGACCTCTTGTAGGCTGCAATGTCACCTCCACCCAAGAAGGCACCAGCCAGTGCTTCCCACCCTACGGACACGCAACTAAAACCTGGTGCAAAGCAGCGCTGCGGCTTTTTTCTTTTTTTCTACTTCACCTTTCTCAAAAGGTTTAGTTTCCATAGAAATCTAATCACTACCTAAACCGTGGCAGGTCGAGAGCCTCTTACCTCCTCCCCACGCCGAACCCGTGGCAAGCACGGCTTTCACGCTCGTTTATTATTTTTGAGGGGAGGTGGCAGCATTCTTCTCCTCTATTTGGATTTAAAACCCAGGCCAGCCAGCCAGGCACCACGACGGCATGTATTTTAATCCTAGACCAAAATAATTTAAACTGCGCTTTCCTACTTCTTCTTCGCGAGCCATTTAAAGCATCTGAAGCGGAGGAAGACAGATCAGTTTGGGGGGAAAAAAAAAAAAGGGGAGAAAAAAAAAAGCACAAGTGAAAACTCCAGTTTATATCAGCCTTGCAAAGGTGTAGGATAAATCAGGGGAGGAGGGTGAGAGTCCCCGGTGCCTTTAGCTCTTTTTTGAGTAGAAAACACTGGATGGATTTTTAGGGGTTTTTTTTTTTTTTTGAAGTCGCAGTAAAATTCAGTGATTCCCAGAGTTTCAGTATGGCAGAGATGGTGTGTCTTTGTAACTGGAAATGAAGAGAACAAACATTTCTGGTGTTTGAAGACACGGATCCCCAAACAGACCGCAGAGTCAGCTTGTTTGGAACGCATTCCTACCTCCCCCCTCTGTGCTGCACAGCGAAGCATCAGAGACGCTCACCCGGAGCGCAAGATAACCGAAATAAAGATCAACTGGGAAGGGAACACTGAACAAAACTACATGCCCTTTGCCATAATGAAAGGGCATTGACTTCTTAAACTGCGAGTACATCAAATAAAGTCACCCATCCAAGTTCAAAGGTCATATTCTCCATCGGAAAGAAAGGTGGAGGGGGAAAAGTCAGCTTTGGCCACTGAAATCCCATTGCTACGCAGCCCTCGGCTCAAAACAGCACCGCGGCTTTGCGGCTAAAGGTTGGCAGCCCTCGGTGTTGGCGTTCCCAGGAGCGCCTTTGCCAAGCCGATGCTGCAAGCATCGGCCGTTGAGCTGCTGGCACCGCTTCCTCCAACGCAGGGTTGGGTTTTGGAGGTAACCAACCGAGCTCGGCTCAAGAGCCGGCGGGACGGCGGCGCCGAGGAGGCAGGGCTGCAGATGAAAGTGCCCAGTCCCGCTCGGCTGGCACAGATGTTTACACCAACTCCGCCGCAAGTTGCGGCACGATTTAAAAAAAAAAAAAAACAAAAAAAAAACGCACCAGACCTCGGAAAGCTCAGCTTCTCCAACTGCCTCCGCGTCTTTGTGCGGTGTGGGGGGGAAAGACAGTCCCACAGCTATCCCTTTATTCTCTAAAAACACTATTTTTCCTGCTCCTTGCAGTCCAGGGGCTCGGTGCAGAGAGGAGGCAGCGATATATTCAGCAAAGCTGGGTGATATGGAGAGCCGCAGCTCGGGTAGAAAAGCAGCCCATCCTGTAAAACAAACAACATTCCAGCTTTTACCTCTCCCTCGCCTCTCAGGGTAAACCCACAAAATTGCTTTAATTAGTCATCGTGGTGGTGCCATGCTCCCCAGACTGCGTGGAAAAAAAAATAAGCAGTATTTAAAATTAGTCACTCTTCCATCAAAGCATCAATATTTCTGGCACAACGGTCGGC